TGCGTCTGGACGGGCCCGACTTTCCGCACACGCTTTACGTTCTCCCGTTACAAGCACTTGCGGAAAAGCGCGTCTGGATCCGCACGGGCACTGTTGTGCAAAAGCACTTTTTGCGGGAAAGCGTCGGTGCCAAGCTAGACGCGCTTTTCCGCAAGAAAGCCCCAAGCGCCATTTTCGCCTTCGGGGCTTTTTTGTGCAAGACAAATCTGAGCTGTCTACACTGGCCCTTTTGTGCAAATACGTTTGCGCAAGAGGGCTTTTTCCCGAACGGAGCAGCACAGTATTTGCGGAAGAACACTGACAATCTTACATCAGATCCTCAGTGCTCTTGCACAAATTCAAGCAGCCAGTGTAGACAGCTGGCAAGTTTTTCTGCAAAAGCAGATGCTTTTGCGGAAAAACTTGCCCGTGTAGACGCAGCCAGAATGGTTGTCGCTAGGGAAGGACCTGCCCATCTGATGGAAGGGATTTCTGCAGATGAAAAGATGGGCATTGCTGCTTCAGGAGCCTGTGAACTGGCCCCTGTATTCAGGAGCCTGGGATTAAATATCCTGGTCCTGTTATAATTTAACATGGTGGGTACTAGTGTCAGATCTGTTTCCTAAAGCAGCCCCCATGCCAGCTGCCCCCTGTGGAACTCCAGGGGGTGGGCTTTCGGTTGCACCCTTGAGGCTGCTGTGCATACACCTCCTTTCATTTCTATGCCTTTGATCAGTGCTGCCCTCCATGACTGACTCATTAATTCCATGTGCAAGAGTTTGGCTTTGAATGGCTTTCCTTCCTTTGCTGACAGGGGCAAAGTTGCGTTCATCACTGGAGGTGGTTCTGGGATTGGATTCCGTGTAGCGGAAGTTTTCATGAGGTATGGATCTCTGATCTTCCTTGACAGTTTTGTTCTCAGCTAACCCCTGGTCTGCTTGCTTTACTTTCATGTTCCCCAGCTCCCTCTTTTTGCTGAGCCAGCCCAGAGAAAATAGGGATTTCCATCTGTATAACTTTTGTCTGATTCCTGAGCTAGCCCTTTGGAAAAGCCTACCTTTAATTTTTGTAAATGTCCTCTCTCAATAGCTTGTGGCATGATCTTGTGATTTCCACTGCAGCTTTTCATGTTCAAACAGTTAGTGCTCATTTACTTTCATAGCAAATATTATCTGAAAAACAAAGTAAAATCACTCCAGGATATCTGTGCTGTATCCTTTGTGTATTTGGACATGGATAGCCGGTCCAGAGAGGAGCCATTCCATTAGCAAGATGGATGATTGAAGGAATGCTTGTGTTCCATTCCTGTCTTTCAGATCCTGGTCCTTAGATTGTATTAAATGCCGAGAGAGACTTCCCTGGTCATGTTAAACATCTAGCATATTTAAGTCTTTCCTTTTGTGCACTGAACGTACTGTTGATGATAAATTAAATTCTAACAAATGTCTGCCATTGTTGGCCATTCCTCTCCTAGCATTCGGGACAAGTTACTATAATCTGATCGTTCTCCAGAATAATTGAGTAATAGTACCTTTACTCTTGGTAGCCCTTGTAACAGTCTCATTACTTGGGTAGAATTGAACATGAGCATGCTATGAATTGAACACTGAATTCACTTCCATGCTGACTCGGTCAGCCTCTCTTTTCTACAAGTTCTGGTTGTACTCTTTTCAGATGATGAATCCCCATATGCATAGTTACTGACACACAGATTTTAGGCCAGAAGGAGGCATTCTGATCATGTCGTTTGACCTGCATAACACAGGCCGGACAACCTCACCCAGTGATTCCTGCATCTCACCTGTAACTTCTGTGTGAGCTAGACTAGATCTTTCAGAAAGAAAGAGGGAGCCAACGTACCTTTGCAGGTGCCCATTGTGGGGCAGGCACATCAAGCACTATAGAAAAGAGAAGTGAGTTTAAACTGTCTCCTGCCCCTGAACACACCGTGGTGAGAAATTCTGAGGCATTCTCTGGTTTGCAAAGGGACTGTGGGTGTGACAATATCTATACGCATTTTGAAATGAGCTGGTTTGAGATCTGTGTGAAGCATTCAATGTCCCCATTGGGGTTTCTTTGCAGGCATGGCTGCAGTACAATCATTGCCAGCAGGAACTTGCAGAGAGTAACTGAGGTGAGTAGCTGGGAGTCTGGTGGAGTAGGAACTGGAGATCCAAGAACATTCTTGCATATGTCCAGAGACCCCAGACTAAAATAGGGGCAGTAAGGCATGGTGTACTAAATACCTAACACATTTCACTCTTTCCTCTCCATGCACACATTTTGGAGCCTGATCAGATACCGAGGTGCCTGGAACTGAAAGTGAGCTGAGTGGGTATAACAAGGAGTATTAGGATAAGGCTAGGCTAAGCCTCCGCTTGGTGAAATCTGTTGCATTTTGGATTAGTCTTCCAAAGTTAGTGGTGGAAGTTTCAGTGCCTGAGTTATTTGCAACAGGACTGGATGAAGCACTGGAAAAATCAGTTGTAATTGCACCACTACCTAGCTTTGTCAAGTGATTTCCATCCATAGATCTCACAGTGCTTTTTTTTTCTCATAGAACTCTCAAAATGTCCATCCATAGATCTCAAGGGGGGGAGGAGAGGCAGTATCATTATCCCCATTTTACAGATGGAGAAATTGAGGCACAGAAAGGAAGTGGCTTGCTCAGGATTATCCAGTTGAACTAGTAGCAGAGCTAGGAATGGGACTCAGATATCCTGGGTTCCAGTACACAGTAAGGACTAATCTTTCATTGAGGATGGACTACATAGGACCTAGCAGAGGTTTTTTTGGAAGGGAGATAGAAAGAATAAAATTCTAGAAAGCAGAGAAAGAAAAAGGCCTCTCAGACTTAACTAGGAGTGAGGAAGATGCCTTAAACTGAACAAGTTTGTTAAATTGAGCTTTATTTTATTTCACTTGAATCAAGCCTCTAATTGTGAGTGGCTAATTTTCATGCAGATTCATAAAGTAACTGCAGAACATACAATGTAAATCAGCATCTGCTTCACCCTGCATAGAATTCATTGAGAGAGTTTGGGTCTGGATCTTTATTCTAGGGAGGGAATTGGGGTAACTGATGGGCTGCTTAAGCTGTGTGGCATTGCAAAACTGAGCAATTGAAAAATCGTGAGTTGGGCTAAAAAAAAAAAACACAAGATTTTTAAAAGTACTGAATGTTGGGTTCGTTCTTGTATTTGCCTTTTGGGTCACTAAGTCATGTTTTCAAACTTTTTTTCTGCAATTGTGAGAGCTGGAAACTTCCTTGTAATGTATTTCTGAGAGTCTCTTGAAATCACCTGACTCCAGGAGCTGGGCTTAAAAAGAAACATCAAATGTTGTGAGACTTGCGCTAAAATTGCAAGAGTTGGCAACATGGCAAGTCATGTGCATATATCAGCTCATTGTGATTTGCACTTAGTTAATTGTTTGAAGTTGCTGTGGGAAGGTAGAAAGGCCAACAAGCTTTAAAAAAAAAAAAAAAAAAGTCCTGAAACTGTCAGGGGCAAAGGCAGCAGCCCTACCTCCCCAGACCAGGGGGTGAAGCTGTTCTCACCTTGCTCATGGTGATGCTGCTATAGCTGAGGAGCATATAGGCTCTGTCCATTTCCTCGTTCCCTCACCTGCCCCATGCTCACTGGCTCCACGCCTTGGTTTTTCCCACAGCAGCAGCATGTAGGGCTCTGCCAAAGTTGTGGCTCCTCAGGAGAGGTGGCATGTAGATCAAGGGCAGCCTGGCTCTGTGGTCTGCCAGTACCTTGCTGGCTTTCCAGCAGCTGTGATTGCAGGCAAGCATCTGTGCGCAGAACATTCCCTGTAGGATCTGTCCCCCAGCTGGGGCCTGGAGTAGGGGAAGATGAGCTGCAGGATCCAGCCTGAAAATATGGGAGCCCCAACTGTACTTTAGGGATTTCCTTTTTGGGTCCAGCCTGATCTGCAGGACTCTAGCCATGAGCAGTCTCCCAACTCAGCCCTGCCATCTGCCCTGGGAGGATGGTGGGGGAGAGAGAGGAAGAGAGAAATAGTATGGTGAGGAAAGATACAGAGAGGAAAGACACATGGCAGGGAGAGGGATCTGCAGGCTCAGGAGCTGCTGGAGGAGACATGGAAATGGCTGGGCAAAGAACCTTTAGGGCTGAATGAATCATATGAGCAGGGATGAGCAAAATATGGTCCGCGGGCTACATGTGGCCCACAGCTCAGTGGGAACCTCAGCCAGGCTCTCTGCCCCACCCCCTCTTTCACCCCTCTGCACAGTGCTCAGAGCAGCAGCTGCAGGGGCCATGTGTGCTTCTCTGAGTGCTGTGGGGGGGAGAGGCTTCATGCAGTGCCCCCATCCCCAGCAGTATCTTGCCGCTCCCATTGGCTGGAAACCATTGACTGGAGGCGCCTTGCTCCTGCACAGAAGCAGCAGCTTCCAAAGCAGGAAGGGGAACCTTGGGGAAATGAGGAGGTGGTGCTGGTGGAAGGTGAGCTCCAGGCAGCTGCCAGGAGAGGCATTATCCAGCTCTGGCAGAAGAGAAGTCTTGAAGCGGCTCCCCAAAACAATGTGTGCCCAACAAGGTAGTGGGACGGGGCGGAGGGCTGAGCCAGGACAGTGCAGGGAGATGGGAAGAGGAGGAGAAGCTTCTCTTCCAGCAGGAGCTCTGGCCACCCTGGATGGGCTGCTCGGGATCCTGACACTTGAGTTCTGTCATGAGGCAGACTCAGAAATGGCATCTCTCACCATTAACTGGCAGGAGTTGGCATGTTGCTGTTGGAAACATGTGGTGAGAAACTTCTGCTTCGACTCTAATATAACTTAAGCCAGGCACTAGAAATGCTTTTGTCTCTTTTCTTGTGATCAGTTCTGACTTTTATGCTTGTTGCTCGTACTCACTTGAAATCTCTCCTTGAGGTTAATAAACCTGTTTCTGTTACTGAATCTAATCCAGTGTATTTAACTTGAAGTATCCTGGCAACCAAGATAACAAGCTAGTGTATATTATTCCCGTCAAGGAGTAACAGACTTCATACATTTGGCTTGTTCAGGAGAGAGCTGGACAGTATAAGACACACGTTTCTGGGGACAACTCTGGGCCTAGCAGTCTGTTGGGATCTCCTGGTAAAGGTTACTAAGGCTGGTAAAAGCCAGAGCAGGCTGCAGTCACCTACAGATGCTCTTGCATGTTGTTTGTGATTGGTCCAGCTGGACCAATTCTCCTTAATCTGATGATAGCACAAGAAGCAATGGGCTTAAATCGCAGCAAGGGAGGTTTAGGTTGGGCATTAGGAAAACTTCTTAACTGTCAGGATGGTTAAGCTCTGGAATAATAGGGAGGTTGTAGAATCTTTATCCAAGATTTTTAAGAGCAGGTTAGATAAACATCTGTTGGGGATGGTCTGGTGCTTGACCGTGCCATGAGTACAGGGGCTGGACTTGATCTGAGATTTCTTCATGTTCTGATTCTGTAACTAAGGGGGGAGGGGATATGATAGAAGTCTATAAAATCATGACTAGTGAGAGCTTCATGGCTTGGGGAGAGGGATTTCTTCCCACAGCAGCCCTGAACCTCTTGCATGGGGGGGCTTAATGGGAAGCTGCACAGCGGTGCAATTTAGGAAGAACTATGCTGCTAACCCTTATGATAATAACATCTGTTGAAAGTATTTAATGGATGCTAGTTCTGTGTCTTCTGCTGAAGCTTTGAGCCTGTCTCTTAGCAAATGGCTTGTGAGAGATTTTCGATGAGATTTCTCTGGAGGTTTACCCGTGGGAGGAGGGTAGGAAGTACACAGAAAATCCCATCGTCGGTGTTGCTCAAAAGGAACTGATGACTCCTACTTGGCAATGAAACGGAGGAGTTGGAGATGAAAAGATCTAGCAGCCCAGCATTGTCCGTCGGGCTTGTCCCAGTTCAAATGAGCCGGGCAATGATGCTTCCGCAGTCTGGTAGATCTTGCTGTTAGGAAGCTTTTATTGAGCCTACATGTTACTTTTCTGGGTTTTGTTCTATTGCTTCCAGTTATATCCCCAGCCTAAGCGATTCCTCTCCTTACGCCCTTCGGGTACTGCAGACTTTTAACACATCCCCATTAGCCATCATTTAGCCATGCTTACATTTTAGCTCTGTCTTCCAGTGTAAGCCAGCACTTGCAGCCTCTTTGTTGTGTGTTGTTGCTTCTCCTGTGGCTCCCTTTAATGTGTCAGTCTCTCTCTGATAATAGAGTGCCCGGCACTGAACGCCCATTCCTTTTGTGATCTTTCCAGCAGAGCCTTGATGCTCTTAAGAGTAATTTATAGGTTATAGCTACATACAAGAATCACTTCATCCACCATCAAAATGCAGCTACCTCTGTGGTGGGACAAGACAGCTGTTTAACAGCATAAACAGCTGCCCCAAGTCGTTACAGGAATGGAGGGTCCTTCTATGTGATGTCACCATGCACCAGGAGGGTAGCCAGGATCCCCACTAATACAAAATCTTTTTCTCTTTTCCAGGCTGCCAAGAAACTAGAGACTGCCACTGGTCAGCGATGCCTGCCTCTTTCTCTAGATGTCCGGCAGCCCCAAACCATCATGGCAGCAGTAGATGAGGCTCTGAAAGAGTTTGAGCGAATTGACATCCTCGTTAACAGTGAGTTGCTTGCAAAGTCGGGGGAAGTGACAGGATCTTACAAACCCTCTTCAGGGAACAGTCCTCACCAACTGAGGGTCAGGAAGAAATTTGCCTCCATCTGCCTTGGAGAGGGTATTCTGTTAATGTCGAGGCACATCGCTGGCGTGCATGCCATTGTCTCAATGCTCGTTCCTCTGGAAACAGGATTCCAGGCGAGAAGGAAGGTTGCTGTGTTCTAGGCGAAGATTTTGTGTTCATAGCCACATAGGATCCTGCAGTGCCAAGTGACATGAGTCTGGGAATACAGGTCCCAGCGAGGTAGCGAACTAAAAAATGTCTACCAGAAACAGAACTGTCCTTGCCAATATGCAGCTGCATAAGTGCTGGAAATGTGGGTTACCACTGGGTCGTAATGTCCACCCATCCACCGCTTCCTATCCCTGTGTTCTGTGGCTCTGCTACCCCAGAGAGGATCTAGTCAACTTAACAGTGACAAAGCCTGCCAGAGCCATTAGCAGACACTGCACTTGTGAAAGAGCCATGCAAGTGGAAATGAAGCCATTTCACAGGCATTTGCGAACCCCAGGTCTATACTGTCTGTTTTTTATTGACAGTGTTAATCAACAGGCCTTAGTTTAAAATGTGCTTTACAACACTTCATTAGTGTGTTGCTGAAGATTATAAAATCACATCTCTAAAAAAATTGTCACCCCTTTCCCACCCTCGGGTGCCATCGGGCGTAGGGGCATCAGTTTAATAGTACTGCGTAGGGCCCCGTAAATCCTAAGGACGGCCCTGAGCAGAAAATGAAGCGAGGTCGGAGGCAGGCAAACCTCATTCCCAACCCAGCAGGGTTCTCCATTCATCTCTGTTTGACTGTACCCCACACTGGGTAGCCCACATAAGCATCAATTCAAGAAGCCTCTGCTTGGCTGATGTGGAATTTGGTTGCCGCCAGCCCTTTGATACCCAATTGTCCCACTGACACTCTTCCTCAGAGGCGGCGGCGGTGGTGCCTGGAGACACTGCTTCTCTCTGAACAATGAGCCCTTCACCCACTGTATGTACAAGTCAGTCTCTGCCTGAGAGGCCTGTGTGCAGCTGGCTGCTCTGCTAGGGACTCCAAAGCAGGAGCTGTACGCCTTAGGGGCCTTCCCTGACCAGTATGGCAGAGGCCCTAGGGGCACTCTTCAAAATGTCTCTAGCGAACTAATGTGAAGGCAGCATAAGCAGGTTGAACTGAGGAACTGGAGCCATCCATGCCAGGAGCCAGTGGGAAGTGCAGCCTGGGTCAGCGTGGCTCTGGGTTGGTGATCTCGGCAGACCCCATGTTCTCTGTATAGTGAACCGTTCCTGCACATGCACACGCTCCGTGTCCTGCTGCAGAGGAAGGGAGGGAGCAGCGCCCTAAACCCACCTGGTAATAGGTTCCCTGCTTCCCACTGACTGTTCCCTGGGTGCTCTCTGTCTCCAGATGCTGCTGGTAACTTCCTGTGCCCAGCCAGCGCTTTGTCCTTCAATGCCTATAAAACAGTGATTGACATTGACACCCTCGGCACCTTCAATGTCTCCAAAGTGCTCTATGAGAAATGCTTGCGGGTAAGTTCCTCCTGTACTGAGGACATGCTGCTGGGGAGCCCATCGCAAGGGGATGGGAGAGGGTCTCGGATCCTAGCATGGATAAGCTATTCCTGAAATCCTTGCTTGTTACACAGCGATAAACAGTTAAGTGTGGTCTCGTGTTCAAGGGCTTGCTATTGCCAGCGACTGCTTTTGTACCAACACCACTGAAAAATCTCTTTAACCTTTTGTTACAGCACACACAACAAGGAAAGTATTAATTGTAACACTGTGCCTTAGTGCCTTTCCTTTCAGCTCCGTAGGGACTTATGGGGGGGGGGACTCTTTCTCATTTGCCAGGTGTTTGGTTGACTTATCTGGGGGTGGAAGACGGACAAAGAGAAAGGGTTAGGGTTAGATATTGTGTCGAATTCCAGTCCTGTTTCCTTTAGACATAACAAGATGCACATGTGCTTGTATCCGTTCAAAAAGCAGCTGCAAATCTCTTTTCCCTAGCCCGTCGCTGTGACCACATCACCCCTCGCTTTCCATCACTCCCCTGGGCTCCTTTTCTCCAGCATATCAAACCTAAGCTGCTTGCCTTCACTTCCAAAGGACCCCCTCACTGCCCCACCCCGCCCCCCAATCATCTCATGCAGTACTGAAAGGCTGACTCCAGCCCACACTGGACCCATGATGGCAATTTTTGTTGCCCAGTTGTTAAGCTTTCCAACAATTCCCTTTGTGCTATCTGCCAGGCTGTCCATCCTGCCTGGGAAGAGCTCCCCTTAAACATCCTAAAGGCACCTGATGGTTGTCCTCCAGGCCCCTCCTTAGAACTCTCCTTTGCTGTGACCCACACCCACACCCCCCCGACGACGACGGTTGAGGCCACTGCAGACTGTGCTGATTCATCTTGTCTCATTGGCAGCCGATGTTGGATCCCGTCTCTGTCTCTGCGTGTTGCCTGTCCGAACATGCCTGTGCTCTCAGAAGTGGTACCAAACCTTCCCCAGGCACAGCCGTTCATCTGTGTGGGTGAATGTGCTTAGGGTGACCTCTAGAAAGTGTCTGCCTGAAAAATGTGGGGGATGCATAAAGCCCTGGGAGAGGGTGGCCCTGACTTAGTGTGTCACAGGCTCTCATCATCTCCTGAGTCTCTTCAGCCCAAATCCTCCGCTTCACCTTGTGGCCTCTAATCTTCTGCCTTCTCCAGCCTCCTTTAGGGGCTTAGACCTAGAGCCAGGCTGCTGTTGCATGATATTTAGATTGTGTATTAATTGTATGGATTATTTATGAATTTCCAGAACTCCTCCTAAACGGTAAGAGCTAGGACCATCAAATCTGGTATGCAGCTTCCTCTTATCATAACTTAAAGCAAGGCCGGAGTTTGGTTGTGCGGAGAGAGCTCCAGCTCCCTCTCCCTCTCCCAGATGCATAAGGGGCTGCATAAAGCCACACAGAAAAGACAGAATCACCAGGCAGGTGAAAGGGGGCTAGGGTCATGCCCCCTTCCCATCTGGGGCTTCCCTAGCCTCAAGCCTCCCACTCCCTCCCTGGCGCAATTTAGGAAGGCTCCCCCATCGTTTTTATGCGGATATTGCTGGCTGTTCCCCTTCATCAGGAGCGAGGGGGAAATGCAAAGTTTGCTCACCCTGGGGAGCGCAGGGGGACCTGGACCTGCCCGAGCCAGGGGACATGCACCTCTCCTTTAGCTGTGTCTGCGGAGCTGCAGCGGCCACGGAGAGGCGCTTATCAGCTGGCTCCGGGCTGCTGCGGTGAGAGGGGACAGCCCCAGGACAGCCTGTAAACTGAACCCCTCCTCCCCAGCCCCGCCCCAGAACAATGATTTAAATGAGGAAAAACAAATTGAGTTAATGACCTGAGCACCACTGGGTAAATCTGTTAATTATTATAGACACTGATTTGTTACTATGGCCCCTCTTGTGGTTCTGTATCACATTTGTAATTTCTGTTTTGACCTATTATTCGGTTTGGTTTTAGCCGGTTATTTGGGTGGGTTTTTTCCAAGTTATGATGTACCTGTTAAGTTGAAGAGTATTCTTGGAAGCTCCCTTTAAACTCCATTAAAGGTTGCTTTATCTTATCACTATCTATCTAGGGCATAGGTTCCTAAACTGGAGGGCATGAAGAAATTGCCAGCCCCCCCACATCCCCCGGTCAATCCCACCCCAAGTTTTGCTGCTATTTTTTTGGAAGGGGGGCGTGAGGGTTTCTCAAAAATCGAAAAGGGGGTGTGATGCGGAAAAGTTTGGGAACCACTGGTCTAGGTGAAAGGTCCCGAATACATGCCTGTTGACTTTACTATTTAGGTGAAAGTTTCTGTGTATATGTACATTGACTTTGCTATCTATGTGAAAGGTCCCAGATACCTGTATGCTAATTTTGCCTTCGCTTAACATACAGGATGTGGGCTGTAGGTCCTTGTGTTGCAGCCGATTACTTTCATATAAACCTGTTGTATCCTATTATAATAAACAGATAATCAAGCCACAAGGAAATAAGAAATCTGTAAGAAAATAGATCTCGATAGGCAAGAAAGCAGGTTAGCTCATAGCCTACCCTGAAGATAGAATATACCAACTCTCGAGTACAGCACGAAGGAGAGCCATCCTGTTACAGATCCCAGGCTAGGAGGTGTTCAGAGAGCCAGGCAGTGATGGCTGAACCCCAAGAGTTGGACAGACAATCCCCATTCCTCACCAGACCGGTTTTGCCTTCAGGGTATTTCTCTAGTTGGTCTCTGTATTCTGACCCACATGCAGGCCCAGGCCCTCTTCCCCAACAGACGAGGTCTCTGCTCTGTTCCCTATCTAACTCCCTGTCTTGTTTATAGGACCATGGTGGGGCTATTGTTAACATCACAGCAACCTTGAGCTACAGAGGTCAGGCTCTCCAGGTGCATGCTGGGACGGCCAAGGCAGCTATAGGTACAGTAATCACATTTGACCTGTTCTGTGTCTTTTCAAGATGCCAAATCCCAGCCATCTTACTGGTTCTTTCCGAGCGTCTGATGGAAAGACTTGGTATAACTATACCGGGATCTTGCATCGTATCCCCTTGGTATGGGTAGGCTGAAGGCACAAGCTGAATGAAGCCCAGATCTCTGCGGAGCCCCTCCCCAGGCCCATGGGGGTATGCAGCCTTGATCGCTAGGTTGGCTTAACTAGTTATTTCTTCCCTTGTGCAATCTCTGTACTTGCCACTTCCCAGGAGGTGACATTGAAGAATTGTCACAGGATGATGCATTCTGGGTATCGCCAGCAAACCATGCTCTTGCAAAAGAGGAAAATAACTGAGAGGAGACTACTGAATGCTGGTTTGGCCCTGCCCCCCGCCTGCGATGGAGCCTTTGGCAGATTTGAGCCTAACAAACTCACCTCTTGGGGCCAATCCAAAGCTCACGTGAGTCAGAGAGAGCATTTCCAGAAACCACAGTGGGCTTTGGACGTGGCACTAGGTGACTTTCCAGGGTCACAATGAGCTGGGGACAGTTCTGTTTAGAAGCCAGGTCTGTGCTGACTCAGTCTAGCGGGCCACACTAGGCCACCAGTCTCCCCGGCTTGCGACATTAGTCTCATGGCCTGCAGGGCACACGCACAAATTCACACGTTGTCTGGGCAACTGCTGGATCCAGATGGCAGCAATAGAAGGCCTCCGTCAGCAGGCAGGCACAGCTCCTTGGAGCAGGTATCTGCAGAAGGCCAGCTGCTTCCAGAGTCCTGCGCAGTCTGATTCCCCCGCTTCATTCAGACGCTCAGGGCTAGTGTTCCCTGTGAGCAGGGCACGTGTGCAGCTGCCCGGGAGAGATTCAGATGCTGCCCAGCTGATTAGCAGAGCACCCCCAGCTGTGTTCTTGTTTCTCCTGGTAGTGCACACTTGCACATGCCTCCATGAACATACAATTATTCCACACATGGATGGAAAAGATTAGAGAGAACATTGCTCAGCACCCGTCACCTTCCTAATTTCCTCCACCCTACAAGTAATGCTCAGTCCTGACTTGCAACAGCCCTGCTATTCCTACCTGTCCTCTCTCCTCACCTCCAGCCCTCCGCTATTCCAGTTCTGGACACACACTCCCCTCCACAGCTCTGCCTAAGCTCCTTGGTCCTGGCACACAAGATCCCCTGCTAGTCAATCCTGATCACTATTCCTCCTTTGTTCTTCAGACCTGCACCCCCACACATGGCCCTGCCAGTGCCTTGGGCTCCGACTGGCCCTCTCTGTTGGTCTGAAATCCCTTCACTGTTGTGGCTCTGTTCTTCATTCTGCTTTTCTTGTCCTTCCTCCCAGATGCAATGACCAGGCACCTGGCAGTGGAGTGGGGGCCCAACAACATCCGGGTCAACAGCCTGGCTCCAGGCCCCATTGCAGGCACGGAGGGATACCGGCGGCTCGGTAAGAGCTCCCTGAGAAGTCTCAGGTGGAGGCTTCGGAGAGCATGGGCTTTCTCTGATGAGCACAGCTGTGAGTGTGCGAGGCAGAGGGGGTCTGGATGGTGTCCGAATGCTGCCTCTGCCTTACCAGTGTCTCCTTGCGAGTGGCTAGTGTGTGTCCTGATGCGCACGGGTCCCCTCTTGTGGTGAAGCTGGGCGGGGACTTTGGACCACCTTGTTAATTATCCCTTTGGCCACAGGAGCGAGTATTGGTCCCTCTGGTTAACCACTGAGCTTCTTGCCCTTGACACTGCACAGAGGCTTGTTTCTTGCACTCCGTGGGTATGTCTAGACTGCGTTCTCTGTCGCCAGAGGGATAATTAGGCATACCGAAATTGCTAACGAAGCGGGGATTTAAATATCCCGCGCTTCATTAGCATAAAAATGGCCGTGCTTTTTGTCACCACGGAGCTTTGGCGACAAAAAGCAGCAGTCTAGACGCGGCTCTGTCGCTCACTAAAGCCTTTGACGACAGATCCCGTTTACTCGAGGCATACGGGATCTGTCGCCAAAGGCTTTAGTGAGCAACAGCACCACGTCTAGACTGCCGCTTTTCATCGCCAAAGCTCCGTGGTGACAAAAAGCGGCGACCATTTTTATGCTAATGAAGCGCGGGATATTTAAATCCCCGCTTCAGTAGCAATTTCGGTATGCCTAATTTACATCCCTCTGGCGACAGAGGATGTAGTCCAGACAGGTGTGGTCCTGCAGCATCTCAAACACTCACACGTGATCTTGCACTGCCTGCTGTCTTATCCTGGGGGACAGTCACCTCCTGAGCAGAGCACCCACTGGT